TTTTTTTTCTTTTTCGAGACAGGGTTTCTCTGTGGTTTTGGAGCCTGTCCTGGAACTAGCTCTTGTAAACCAGGCTGGTCTCGAACTCACAGAGATCCTCCTGCCTCTGCCTCCCAAGTGCTGGGATTAAGGGTGTGCGCCACCACTGCCCGGCTTAATTTTTAGTTTATAAAATAAGAGATGTTTTAATGGTCAAGTAAAATACGATTTCCATTAAAGGGCTATCATAAACTACCATTTAAATAGAAATTGTTTCAATAGCAATTTGTAATTCTTAAAACTATTACCAATTCAGGTTACTGTATGAATTATCATTTTTACCATTTCTAGCTGTCTATAAATCCATTCAAAGGTAAGCCCCAAATATAATCGTCTTTATAGCTCTTTGAAAGCTAAGAGTTTCTTATAATCCTAGGTACTAAAAACAGGCCAGATTTTGAGGTGCAGTCCAATCCACAAAAACAATTTTAGAACAACAGAACATATCAAAGGATAGAACACAATTATAAAGAAAATACTTAGTGTCAATCTAGCTGCTTCCTCATATGGGAAACTAGACATACATCAAGAACAAAAAATTTTGTCAGGTGTGGTGGTGCATGCTTTTAATCCAAATACTTGGGAGGCAGAGACTAGAGAATCCCTGAGTTCAAGGCCAGCCTGGCCTACAGAGTGAGTTCCAAGATAGTCAGGGCTACACAGAGAAACCCTGTTTGAAAAGCATGCACACAGGGGTGGGATGGACAAAAAAATACAGGCAAAAACCAAACGAACTCTCCAAACCAAAAATGCAAGCACAAAAACCTGCTATAATTATTCATATTTTAAAAGAAATGTTCAAAAACACAGAAAAAGTCTTTTGTTATGACTCTTTCACAAATGAGGCTCCATACGAAGAAAACCATGAAACTAAAAAAATAAATAAATAAATAAATAAAAATTGATACCTAGTCAGAAATCCCTGAATAAAACTGGGAGTCAAAGTGCTTAAATATGGCCTACTATTGCAACATAATAAACCCCACAGGAGAAGGAAACTGATAGTAAAACCTCTTCTGGAGTGGCAAGAACTCCCCGCGAACAGCCTGTGGATGGCAGCAGGCCTGCCTGAGCCGAAGCAGAGGATACAGGATGGAGGTGACGGTCCTTCTGTCCAAGCTGCTCAATTTCAGGGCCCAGTCGGAGATCTTCCTGAGTTTTACCACGGCATCCTGGCAGCACACCTCATGCTGGCGGTGATAGAAATGCCTCTCCACGGGAGAAAAGTGGAGCCAGTGCATTTCCTCAGTCTGAGGTGGAATCTGGATCTGTATTGGGAAGTTAGAAACGGAACAATTTAACCTGAAGTTTTAATTTTGCATCCAAGCTTAGTTTCCTTAGTAAAAGGTTGACACACTGACTTGGTCAATGACATCTTTCTTAGCAGACCTCCACAATATCTTGGCAATAAAACTGTAGAGATGCTGAGGATTCTTCTTGCAGTATGGTCGATAGAGAAGTCGAATCCACCAGTGTTTGACACAGTAAGGTTCAATCCCAAGAAAGACCACCAGACCAAAGAGATCTATGAAGGAAAAGGTACAGGACAGCAGGGATAATTGTTTCTGGATTTCTTCATTGCTCTTTTGCGTAAGATCACCCAAAGACCCACAAACACACACAGAACTTATATGAAGAATTCATCTTGTAGCCTCTTGAATCTGAACATTTAATTCCAGATCAGTTTACACTTCTGAGAATCTACTTTCTGCTCAAACTGCTGAGATACTTAAAATGTAACAACTACTACCACAGCTTGCACTTAAAAGCCTGGAAGTGCAAACTTCTTCAGAAGATTTGCTTAATTAAGATGCAAGCATGAAAACTTGTCAAATGAGCAAAGTGTGAAAAAAATGGGGTAATCTCATGCTATACAGAGAATATGCTCTGACCCAACTTTCCTAATGATCTACTAATTTCATTTCTAGGGAACTAGCTTAAGACAATAATGAAATACACAAAAAACTTATTTAATGAATCACCACTCTTAACCACTGAGTTATTTCTTCAGCTCTGAGTGTAATTTCTTTATGCTTTTATGTATCATTAATTGAAAAAAATACAGTAAATAGTTACTTCAAAATGAGCAAGAATTATTTTTAAAATTCCATGACTCCAAGTTAGAAGACGTCCCAACTTGGAGAGGGAAGTTGAGAACACAGTCCCATTCTATGCTCTGGAGCTACTGGCAACTGTTAGCTGCTGGGAAACGGGGCGTTTTCTTTAACAGCATAGTCTCTGGTGAGCCTCTAGTGGAAGACCACATACTCCAAAATATTTAGGCAGCACAAGCGGGTCTGGTGAGTGAACTGGGGAAGAATTCGGGGAGGCAAGTGAATATGATCAAGACACATTGCATAAGACTCTAAAGAAACTATAAAAACATAAAAATGTAAAAACCACAACTACCTATAACATCATATTAAGATGACAGACACATTAGGTTGAAATTACTTGTTAGATAGGGCCTCCTAGGTAGCAGAATTAAGTGACCCTCATAGTACATGGGAATTAGTAACAAACACTTATCTGCAAGAATCAGATTTATAGGTCAGATTACATCAGTATAGCTATTTATATTCTACTTCACTGAGGTCTTAAAACCCTCAAATTATATCTGCCCAAGACAAATTAATATTCTTACCCAAAGATGTTTTCCTCTAGTATTTACAGAGAAATATATGAGTCAGTAATGTGTCAAAACATCATCCCTTGTTAAGTTTCCTCATCCACTTTTTCTATTTCTCTAAGATAACTCTAGTCTAGAACCATAATGATTGCACTGCATGCCTCCATCAGTCCTTGGAGGCAATCATCTGATATCCTAGTATATACTTTGTTTTCTGATAAATCATTTCCCACATTACAATGAGTGATCTTCCGAAATATAAATTTATCTACAAGATGAGAGAGAGTAAAACATTGTGTCTAAATTCTTCTAACAGCTCCCAATTTTTCATGAGAATATAAAAACACTCTATTATGGTCTAAAAGGTCCATTTTGACTTTCTCTATACTTATCTATCGAGTCTCGGCATGCACATGATTTCTCCGCACTTTAGCCAGAGAATCCTTTCCTCTACTAATCACTGAACAGCATTGCAGATCTCAAACTGGCCACATCTTTCTTCAGTATCCCTTATTCTAAAATTTGATTTTTTTCTCCCTCATGCTTTCCTTTCTCAAGCTCTAAAGTTTGTTCTTTGAACTCAGGCTGACTTGATATATATATAGTGGAATGGGTACAATGTTTAGTCAATTTAAAGCAATGGGAGTGCTCACTACATATCTGTCCTCGTGTTTCTGAAGATACCACCCAAACTCAACATAATAAGATAAATGCTTTAAACTAGTAGGAGCAAACTTTAGTACACAAATACTTAACTAAATAAAGGTTTTGAAAAAAGTTAAGGCTAGCAGTATTTCCCCCAAACAAATAGCACTTCAAGTATGGGGCCTGTGTAAAGTCTGCATTACCTTCCAGTCCTCTCTGTACTGGAGTGCCGCTGATGCACCACCGATTAATCCCACTCAAACGCTGGGCCATTTCTGCAGCCTAACCAAAGAAAAATATGAAATAAAACACAGAAATCAGTCACACATTTTCTCATGAAAATCCCTACTAACAGGTGCATTTCAGTTAAGATACATCTGCTTTTATTTAATAGTTATCACACTCACTGCTGAATGTCATACTCAGCCATTACCCAACAGTAGGAGCTCCCATCAGTAGGAGCTCACTATGAGATGTAGGGGTATTTCAAGCATGTAGAGAAGAAAAAGATATCCTGAATGAATACAATCCCTTCACCAGGCCTTCCTAGAGGGGTAAGCTTCTGTATGATGAGGTATGATTTATCAATTCAGTCCAGGTTTCAGACTGATCACTGGAGACAGAATAAAGAAAAATAATACGGGACAGGGGAGATGGCTCATTCATCAAAGTATTTGCTACACAATCAAGGACCTCAGGTTGGATCCCTGGCAACAAAATAAGAAGCAATGTGCATAAGGGTTAAATCTTAGCACCAGGTAAAGGAAGGGCAGGAGGATCCTTGGGGCTAGGCCAGCCAGTTTACTTAAATCAGCAGGCTCCAGGTCTAGTGAAAGACCATCTTAAGCAATAGTGTGTTGAGTCGCAGAGAAAGGCCTGAGACATACACATACATACACAGATACATATAATATAATTCGATACCATAAGGGTCATTTTCTGAAGTCATATGATAAGTCTCCTAGTTAGCTGAAATAATTTAGAAGCCCCAAAGCATAGCTTGCTTTGAACACTGTCATATACACATTGACATTCAAGTTTCCAAGTATTCCATAGAGAAGCATCATTCAGAGAATTAACGTCAAAAGATTATGTAGTTCATAACACAGGAGTGTAGAGCAACATAAGAGTGTTCAAGCCGGGTGGTGGCACACGCCTTTAATCCCCAGCACTCGGGAGGCAGAGGCAGGCGGATCTCTGGGAGTTCGAGACCAGCCTGGTCTACAAGAGCTAGTTCTAGGACGGGCACCAAAGCTACAGATAAACCCTGTCTCGAAAAACCAAAAAAAAAAAAAAGACTGTTCAAACAGTATCAGTAGTATGGGTTAAACAACTACTGAACTATTCACATTCTTCCTTTCATCATCAGCACTCAAAAGATGCTGTAGAGATTCTTACTTTTACTGTAGGACATTCAACCATCTGAGCTTCATCAAGACAGATTCTCCACCACTCCACCGCTACGAGGGGACTGGGAATGGCCATATAGCGCTTCTGGTTCCTCAGGCGACGCCCATCCTCACTATTGCTATGTGGGATATCAACATAGTTTAGTTCTGAACGAAGGACATCATAGGTAATGATAACTATATCTTGTTCTGCCAAAAAATGAGGCTGTAAGAAGCCATCTTTCTTCACTCCTTGATATACCTGGGAAATAATCAGAACCAACAGTTATTAAAAAACACCTTGGCAAAGGTCATAAAAATATTCATTTATTCATATTCCTATTGACCTGAGCCCTTTCTAAATTTGCATTTGGCCACACATACTATAGACAGATTGTACAACTGTCTAGAGAAAGATTATGTTCTAGTGTGGGAGCCAAGTGACATAAACAATGCGAATGGACACATTACAAAGATTACGTTCTAGTGTGGGAGCCAAGTGACATAAACAATGCGAATGACACATTACAAAGATTACGTTCTAGAGTGGGAGCCAAGTGACATAAACAATGCGAATGACACATTACAAAGCAACTGTGACAGCACTGGTGGAAAAGACGAAAGCACGATTAATAAAAACTCAGAGAGAAATTGGGGTTCAACCCAAATATCTAAAAAGCAAAAGTCAGCCACTGGCTCTTACCCTGAACTCAGTCCAAAATGGCAATCCTGCCTCCAGGAACCTCAGAATGAGACTGTGTCTGAGAGCTGTCTCCTCCCGTTTTATAATCCATTCTAGGGCTGGGATTAAAGGCATGCACTGCCCAGTTTCTATGGCAACTAAATGTGGCTACTGGGATTAAAGGTGTATATTACCATTACCTAGTCTTTAAGGCTGACCACTGGGGCTGTTTAACTCTCAGATCTTCAAGCAAGCTTTACTTATTAAAATACAATTGAAATGCCACTACAAAGACCAACTGTGCAACTGACAGTGAACTCAGAGGAGCTGATGTTTCAGTTACATTTTGAAGCAATGCTTAGGGTTCTTTCAAATGGAAAAAGAGAGGAAAGAATATAGGCAGGTTATTAAATGGACTCAACATGGTGTGAGAATACAGAACAAAGAATGTAGGCAGAATGACAGACTTGGTAGGAGTGTGAGATATAGTGGGAAGGGATGGGAAAGTAGAGCAATCACTGCTCCTATTCACGAAGTACTCTTTCTGTTTCAGATGCTACACAAGGCATTGTCTCCAAACTGCACAACTGTCACGTGCTACTCCTTTCCCACACAGAGGAAACAATGACCTGCTCAACTGAAGGAGCTAAGACTTAAAATTTCATCCACACAAAACAGAGTTACTTAGTGGCAAAAGTCATGCTTTATTTACTGTAAGTTTTTATGCCCACAACAGTGGCCCACTATGGAAAATCTACACGATTCTCATGGAAGAAGAAATGTGGCCAACAGTAACACCCAATGACCATGAGTCAGTACTTGGCAAATCTCATTTACACAGCAAGCCTGTGAGAGGCCATTTTCAGAATTATGTATAGTTCCTGGAAAATGATACACACCAAAAAATAACTGCTGAATAGGTATTTTGTTGTTGTTGTTGTTCTACTAATGAAATAACTGAGGCTCCAGAAGAGAATTATGGATCTACAAGGTAACAGGTTAGAATGAGCATCTGAAACTATACTATGCTACCCTGGAACTGTATCTTCCTCTGAAATTACAAATGCCTATACCAATTCATTTTCATCTTGATAATCAAGAATTTTTAAAGTTTTTATGTCAACATATTCTCAACTTCTAAAATTCAGAAATCAGAATATAGTCTACTGTTCTGTTTCTTCTTTTCAATATTCTCCTCAAGTTGATACAGCTAGTATTAGTATCATAATAATTTTAGGAATATACAAAAAAACATGATGGTGATGTGGCTCAGTGCTAGAGTGCTTATCTAACGTGTCAAAGTATTATTGGGGGAAAAAGTATAAAAACATTAACAAAGAATTTTGGAAAATAAAAATATATAGAAAAGTAAAATCATACATAAAATTAGCTGGGTGTGGCACACATGCCTGTAATACCAGCACTTGGGAGGTAGAGGCAGGATGATCAGAGTTCAATGTCATCCTTGAAGCTAGCCTGGGCTATGTGAAACTCTGCTCCAACCCTCCCTCCAAATAAATAAAATAACAAACAGTAATAAAAACATGAAAAGAAACAAAACCACAATGAAAACTATCATGATGCTATCCCTCTTGAGCTTCACTGTCTTACCAAAACTCGAAGAGACGATGATCTGACATGCCGGTTGATTTCATCCACCCACTGGTGGCAAATGGAACTTGGAGAGATGATCAGAGTTGCCCTTGTTGACACTGGCTCCATTGCAACAAGGCAGTGGGGGCAGTAAAAAGGCTTCACCTTCAGATTCTTCTCCTCGTAATTCACACACTTTGCATGCTGCCACAGGTGGCAGTTCAGACACTGAACTCTCGGCTTCCAGCCAATCTGGTCAAATTCACCACATATGCACTCAAAGCGGTAATCAGAGGTCTCACAGGGACTCGCAGTGTTAGAATGTGCCAACTCATCAGCAGCGGGCTTTGGAGACCCCACCCGGTCTTTGTCTTCTTGGTTTTGCTTGCTCTCAGAGGCAGGTATACTCTCCGACACATCAGGATCAGGATTTGCTGAGTCACTAAGAGCTGGAGAGTGACCATGGGAATCCGGACTGATAGGCTGCCTCTTTTCCTTCTTAGTGAGCAGAACAGGTTTTCTTTTCAATTTACTACGGCTTTTCCTGGGCTTACAGTAATAATAATAAGGATCATCATCATCATCAGAAGTGTTTGATGGCAGGTATTCAGAATCTGTGTCCTTGTTCACTGATTTTCTTAACTCTTTCTGAATTTTCCTTGGACTCCCCACCACCTACGAGAAAGAACTGTTTAATTAACATGTGCCAGTAAGGCTATAACTCTGAAATCAAGGTCTAAACTTCATGCATATGCTTTACAAACAAGTTCAACATTGTCTTTATATAAGGAGACTAGTTCCTGACAAACACACTCCGATTTACTCTGTGGAAGACCTCTCTCTGTAATCCTCAGAGAAGCAAAGGCTCTACTTCATCCCTGTATAGTTTAGAGATACAGATCAGAAAAATAAAGGGCGATCACTCCTTTGTTAGTAATAGTTTATGATTTAATGTCTACTTAAATCAATCAAATAACAGAAATCTAGAGTACATACAATTCCAAGTCATCAAGTACTAAGAAAGTGAAAGTTAATCTAATATTTACCGCAATCAGTAAACAAACTCCTATCTTTGCCCTTTCTATGTGGATCTCCTGACATTAGGTTGAATGTCAGTTTTGGGCCAGGCATTGTTTTAGATGCTAGGGTATTAAAAAAAAAAATAACATAAAAAACAAAAGTATATTTGGTATCTGGTCTCAACAGCTCTCTGAATAGTAAAAAGCAAAAATATGCTACACAAGTACCTACAAAAGGCAGGTAAAGCAGATAGGATGTGACGAACAGGAAGGAGATAGGAACAGTTCCCTGAAGAAGGTGTCAGAACTAAGGGCAAACAGAAGAGCCAGATATTAATAGAGAAACAGTGGCACTGATCGAACATCCCCCTTGTGGTGGCAGCAGGATCACAAAAGCACAGTTCCCTGCAATCTTCTGTGTTGCTTGGGTACAAGGTGGACACTCCCTAGTCCAAGAGAGGAAGCGGCTGTGTGTTTGTGTGTGTGTCCGCATGTGTGGCCAACAAAAGGATTTCATAATTTGATTTGTTGTCAGTAGTCTTTCCTTGATAATGTTTACATGTATTGTGACTATTTTTCTAAAAGCAAATTGAAATATTGGCCCAATGAAAACAATTTTATACCAAAATATACAAAGTTTTATAGGATGATGGCATAGGGAACAGGATAACTTTATATAAAAAGACTTGAAACATAAATAAATAGGTATATATAAATCTGAGGCATTAACATTTCTAAGTTTGGGAGCAAAGTTTGTAACTGCAGGCAGCATTTAATAATAGACAGGTTATCTTAAACTGTAAGGCATATGAAATTAATTGTGGCGTTCATCCCATTGAGTATTTCTAATGAGTCCACCACATTTCTCTGGGTTCCATGGTAACTAAAATAGTTATTACTTTTGTGACATTTACATTCAGAAAATAGAAAACTAAGTCACTGTCATAATGTTTCTCCTCACTTACTTTGATTTTTGCCTGCAAATTTTGAAAGCTTTAATGTCAAGGTAGGATCTATCCATCTATTCTATATGGTAAGAGGGTGGTTTTTGGTCATTTGGTGGGCTATAGATATTTGTCATTGTTTAGGGAGGTTGGTTACAAGTTCTTATTGGTCATGGTAAAAAAAAAACTAAAAATGGAGATTAGATTCAGGGATCTATTTCTGAAAGAAAAAGGGGGAAATAGTATAGAAATAATGGGATATAAAGTGGATTGTTGAGTCTACTTTTAAGCAACCACTAGTCTCAAGTATATTACACTGGTATAGACTTTTGTATATTGATACAAATTTAAAGTTATTTTTGTTTTACTGTATATTTCTATTCTTGCTTAAGGTACTGTTTCTATGCAGATTATTTAAAAATGTAATGCAAAGTTTTAGTCTTTGAAAGCTATTTAGGAAGATAAAGAAATGCAGGTTAATAGTCATCTATAGCTATCAAACTTATAGTCTGTTAGATATGCTTTCAAAGTCATATAGAGATATATTCTAGATAGATAAGTGATCTTCAAACATTTCAAAAACATACCTACAGAATATGGCATTTAAAATGTTTTAATAACATAAGGCTTTTTATGACAGTGAGATACGTCTATTCCTGGCAGTACCAATTTACTTCAAAAAAAAAAAAAAAAGACAATGGGCATCAAAGAACCTCCATATGGAGTTTGCTTTCTTCATCGCATAAGCTAGTCATTTGGGCAAGAAACTGCCTTTGTCTCAACTGCTGACAGTATGCTGTTCAAACTGGACAAACAGGACACAAAAGAAAGCAACTGTCAAACTTTGCCAAGACAAGATAGTACAGGCCTTATAATTCCTGTTTCACAGAAAAGTCTGTCAGGTATTTTAGGCCCATAGGCCTAAAATTACAAAGAAACCCTGGGGTGGCTGTCCAGGCAACCAGATGTCTATTGTTTCTTAGTTTTGGAAATTGTCTACTCTGTACTTCCTGTTTACTCAGGTAATATTTTATTCTTCTTGGGTCCTGATGGAGAATAAGATATTTATAGGTTTACAGTTCTCCTTGTTACCAAGTTAGGAAAATAAATATAAGAGATGTAATTTTATATGGTTGAAAGGCAATAGTTTGAATAGTTTACCTAAGATGGTGCGGGAGAATTGTCTGTATTCTGTCAATCATGTTTTAAATAAACGCTGATTGGCCAGGCAGGAAGTATAGGTGGGAAAACAAGGCAGGAAGAAGAAATTATGCAATGAGAGCAGGAGAATTCTGGGAAGGAGGAAGTTGATTCCTCCCACTCCTGCCCAGACCACCGAAGCAGCAGGATGTGATATGCCCTACTGAAAAAGGTACTGAGCCACATGGCTAACATAGATCAGAATAATGGGTTAATATAAGCAACAAAAGCTAATAAGTAGCCTGACCTAATGGGCCAATCAGCTTTATAACTTTTAGAGATCTCTGTGTGATTTTCTTTGGGGCTTGCTGGCTGTGGGGTACTGGGAGGGACAGAAACCCCAACAAGCAGGCCCCTCATGTTACACTAAGAAAATGATTTAAGGCCTAAAAAGACAGTATTAAGATGGCAATACAAGTTATAATATGATAGAAAATGATTTAAGTATAAAACTTTGGACTCATCAAGACAGGATAGACAATGGAATAGTTTCTCTAAATTTGTCAAATACAAATGGACTGGACATTGTAAATGTAATTCTTACCGGATAATTGGTCTTACTGTATATAGTTTTACTGTTAAAAACTTTTTAAGACAAAAAGGCAGAAATGTTGTGGAATTGTCCTTTAAACTGTGTAAAGATGTGTTATTTTGACTGACAGAATAAAAGCTAAACACCAATAGCTAGGCAGGACTTCTGAACAGAGAGAGCTCTGGGAAGAAGAAAGGAGGAGTTGTCAGCTAGATGCAGAGAAAAAGACATACAGGAGAAGAGATAAAAGTCATGAATCATGTGGCAACACATAGATGAATAGAAATGGGCTAATTTAAGATATAAGAGCTAGTGGGATAAGCCTAAACTATAGGCCAAGCTTTCATAGTTAAGTAAGTCTCTGTGTGGCTTTTTATGAGCTGGCAGCCCAAAGTAAAATACTTTACAAGTATATGTACTTAATAAATGCTGTTACCTGCTTTTTTGTTTTATCATATATATCTTCTTCTTTGTAATTCTTCCCCAGAGTAAAAGTCCCAGAGAAACCATGACCTTTGATCTGTTTCACAAGACCTTCAAAGATTAAACATTTCAGCATCCTCTTCAGAAGACTCCGGTTCCGCTGAACATCATATCTGTATATGGAGCTGACATACTTATAGATAGAAAGAATAGAGACTCCTTTTTTCCCATTCATTTCTTTCACAGCTGTTAGGATCATCACACGTGTAGCTAAATGTTCAAGTGGACAGAAAAAAAGGATATGCTAATTACTCAAAGTAACTAAAATGAAATTTAATCTTAATTCGCATTAAAAACTAGGTTAAGAAAATAAACAAAAGACTTAGGGCAGTGTAGTACCATTCCAAAGAATATGTAATAAAATTTTACCTTGAATTAAAAAAAAATTACTGTAATAGAAATAGCAAAGACTTATTCAGGCTAATTTGCTAGTTGATAAAACAACAATCATTCAAATAAAAATAAAATCTCTTGAATGTCCTAGTATATGCTATGCTACCATTGCTGAATAAAATTTGTTAATAGAAATTGTAGTAGCTACACTTGAAAATATACAAAACTGAAGTATAATAATAGACTGAACTAGTAGTACTGGGACCAACTCTATTTTTGTTAATGTAACTTGTAACCATGCTCTTATGTTAAATACAAATAACTGGGGGGAAAAAAACCTAGCCATGATGATTACAACCTTTCTGAGGACAGAATAAGAAGATACTTGAAGAGACCATACTTACGGGGGCAGTGAACTTTTTCTTTTGGTTCACATTCTGTATCCTGGATTTCTCTGCTTTTTACTTTTCCTCTGGGACAGTGAGATGGGATGAAATAATTCACCACTTTTCCCTGAAACACATGACATTTGATAGCTGAAATATTTTGTGTTCAATATTCTAAATTATCATTTACAGTTATTCTATTAAAGACATGGAAAATAGTCATATAACTATAAAAGAAAGAGATGATTAAATGTCATTCATTATGTAAACAATTTTACTTTGGAGCTTGCACCTAACCATCATTTTCTTCTTTGTGTACACTATTCAAAAGTACACCAATGTAGGGAATTTCTGAAGTAACTTAAAAACACATTTTAAAATAGAACTGACACATTAAATTTATAATAATGAAACATAAATTTGGAAATATGTAATGAGCTTAACATCTCAGAAAGAAGTTATTAATAATTCCAGTTATATACAGTGTCTTTTAAAAAATACTTATATGTGTCTTAATGATATTTAGCTTGCATATATGTCTGCACATCACATGCCTGCAGTACGCACAGAGGCCAGAAGAGGGGGGGCATCACCTGGAGCTAGAATTACAGATGGTTAGTTAGCTGCTCAGTTGGTGGGTGCTGGAAATCCAACCTGAGTCCTCTAGAAGAGTGGCCAGAGATTAGAGCTCCTAAATGCTAAATACCCGCATCATATATATGTAAATATCTACTTATATAAATTTATAAAAATGTATTCATATATATAAATTTTTCTTTTCTATATACTATTGAAATCCCTAAGGTTTATTTTGTATACATGGACTTTCCAACAGATTCTATACATATAAAGACAGTGGGTCTGTGGTTCCCGAAGGTTCTTAATTAGTGTGATCTTGGATTAGTGGGTTAAAGTCAACAGTGCTTAATGTGCTGGCTTCAGGTTTCACTACTGGGAGATACAAGAAGTTAATTTTTGCAAACTCTAATTTATATATTTATTTATACAAAATCTATTCTATCTAACAATCTATTACTACTAAGCTATCAGTCAAACAGTAAATTCTACTTACCAGAATCTGAAATTTGTAATTACAGACAGTTCTTAAAAATATTCACTGGTAATATGGACCATATAGTGGTGACAAGATATTTGAAGCACCAGTAGGAAGAACTGTAAAAAAGTTCTCTGCTAACTAGTTGATAACTTACTACATACCCTATTTACTAATTGGTTTACATCACTCAAGAAAAACCTAGGTAACCAGCGTTCCATTCTTTGCAGTTACTTGAAGGTAATCAAACATGAACACAAGCCATTGTTACACAAAGGACAGAAGAGGTTGACTTGAGGCCACGCAAACAGTCAATGTTCGCTGTAAGGTCCCCTAGGTTCCCACTTCTAGAGCACAGCAATATTTCTCTGTACCTCGGGAAGAGTGAGACCGTCTTGTTTGACATCCTGCCGAGTATGTGTCAGAATCAGAGCCAGAACCTCCACTGTCTTTCCGAGACCCATCTCATCTGCTAAGATTCCACCAAGCAACTGTGGTCCAGCATGTGGGAAATCACGAATGATGCTAAGGGAAAATACAATCCGGGAAATTAAATAAAAGTTACGCTGTCCTTTATTAGTATTCCCAAAGAGAATAGAAGAAATCCATAAAACTTTAAGTTTATCGAAAATTCATTTAGGAGAAAACAATTCAAATTCACAAATCATAGAAACAGGAAGGAAACAGAAATAATCAGACAACTAAGCCTGTAGAAACAAGAATGGTGCCAGTACATACATCATCAACAGTTTATTTCTTCTGTAATTAAAGAGAAAGGTTATACTGGCTGGCAACATGGCTCAGCAGGCACGACAAACACGAAAGGAGAGAACAGACTCCTGTAAACTGTCCTCTTCTTCCCTGGCCACGGAATAAATAAATGTATGTAACTTTATAACATTTTAGAAGGAAGCAATTTTCCCTTTATGGTTTTTATGAACCTGTGATTAAAAAATATAAAAGATAATAAATATTGACTTATTAATTCTGATTAAAGATTCGTATATTTCTTTAATCTACAAGTTGATAAATTTAATGAAAATTTTAAAAGTTGGCCTTTTGTAAACAAAATAACATAATACCTGAGATATAAATCTCTCCTTTATTCTTTCCCTCACTGAGATAGGGTTTCGCTATATATCCCTGACTGCCCTGGAACTCTTTATGTAAACCAAGCTGGCCTCCAACTCAAAAATTTGCCTGCCCATGCTTCCCCAGGTGCTGGGATTAAAGTACATGCTTCACCATATCCAGCCGTCTCTGTCATTCTCGATAACTCAGCAGCTGCTATCATGATAAATTCATTCACTGAAAAATGACAAGTGCTTTTATTTCTCAATCTATCCTTGGTATAATACAGTAATTTAGTATTCCTCAAGACTATGAACATGTGTCAAAAATTTCACGGATTTTACTGTATATATTTTAAAAATCAAGCATGTAAGATTTTGCCTTACCAGCCCGTATATGGATTATAGTAGAGCTTCAAACCATCAGGTGTAACAATTTCTCGCCATAGGAAGTGCAGGGAGTTATCTAAAGAAAAGAAAAACCATGTAAGAGTTTTTGTTTGGTTTATTTCCCTGACACATATTGATACTAAAATAAAACAGGATGGTGTGGGATGCTGACTCAGGAGACAAATGTTCTTGAGAAAGTTGCCTCTCAGTTAGCAGGTGGGTAAAAGGCCATGGTTCTCTCCATTTAAAATACCCTTCTAATACTATTTGCCAGCTTCCTTGCTTTGGAACAAATCCATGTAAGCAAGTTATAACACAGAGGAGTGAAGCACAACACTCTGCTGAGGGTCAGCAGGAAAACTAACGCTCAGCACCAACTCCACCTGACATGGTTACCTTTAACAAAGCACCTATGAAGTGGCAACTTCTTTCTTACTGCAAGCCAATTTTTTAAATACAATATATTAAGATTCCCCTCCCCAAACTCCCAGCTCCTTCCCACCCACAACTGGGGAAAGATTCTGGGCTGGGGAGCCTGACTAGTAGAGCATTCACACCTTAATCTCAGGGTCATGGTAGTTTATACAAGTAGAATTTGCTGCAAGAGGTGGAGGCAGGAGGATCACAGGCAAATTTAACTCAAAAGACCCAAGCTACTTGGCTCCACCATTTATCTTAATTGCAAATGACATGTCATATGGACCAGAGGAAGAAGAAAGCTTAAACTGTAATATTTAAGTATTACATTTATCTCAAACTTCTCTAGTCTTTCTCTTTAATCTTTCCAAGCACTGGGAAGTCAGGTATGCCTCACCATAGCTGGCAAAAATTCTTATAATAATTAAAAAAAATTCTAGATGTATTTGACAGCATTCCTCTAATTCTGAAACAAGGTATTTTCTTGTAAATATTTTCCCTGTATTCTCTCCTCAGGTCCATAGCAATCAGGCTAGCCATTCTTGCACTCAAACCTTTCAATCTGTGATTCTCTCAACTCTGGAGATGATTTTCGCAGATACTCTGTCACTGTGGTGGAGGGCTTACAAAAACTGGTTGTTGACTCCAAAGATAATACTTTTGCTAAAATGCATCAAATTTATCCTTTAAGTTCAAAGCATTTTGTTGTGTATAAATTATACCTTTCTGAAATTATGTATCCAACGAATATTATTACAGAGAAATAAAAAGTACGAGTTTCGTGGGACTTTATAGAACTAACAATTTCCCAAGAAATAACTGGGAGGACAAGACTGCACGAGAGATGGGCAGTGAAACAGACAGACATGGAAGTCGAGGAAGAGCACCCAACTCAAGAGCTAGACGTTCATTTTAGAGCAAGGGGAGAGAATGCCAAAGGATATGAGTGAATGAGAATGTGGGAGATAGGAAAATAGAGACAAGGTAAAGAATTTTTGAAAAAGGCAAATCTACTGATATTTAAAAGAATCAGGAGTAAGAAATAATATTGTCTATTAATTGATACTGTCCAAAATGAAAACTTAAAAAGAATTATGTTGTTGGGGGAAATAAGTAATATCATCTGCCACTAACTAAAGGAAATCTACACAGGGAGAATCAAAACTAGTTAATAATTCGTTTTATAGAATTGTGTAAAAAAATCTCAAAATTTGTCTACTCATTTAAAAATAGTGCTGGGCCTGATGCTGTTCATTTTAAGCACAGTGTTCAGTAGGCAGAAAAATAAATTCGCATTACAGTTTAAGGTCAACCTGATTTAAACAGTGAGTTCCAAGACAGCCAGGGTGCTAAACAAAGGCACTGTCTCAAAGCAAACAAACAAAAAATATTACTACAGCACATCCCTCCAATAAATTTCTTGGTTTTATTTATTTTGTAGGGCAATCAAAAAATACAAATTAGGAAAATTCATCATGTTCGTAAATCTACTCTGTTGCTAACATTTACTGTCCAGTTAGGAAGTTTATTACACGTACTTAATCAAGTTCTAAAAGCAATCTTTTGTTGACAAGTCATGATTTTTTTCCAATAGCATGGCTCACAGCCCAGAATGGCTAGACTAAAATTTACACTGTGGCCTGGGATGACTTGAATTCCTCATCTTCCTGCTCCTACCTCCCCAAATAAGATTATAAGTAGGAACCATGATTTAAACTTCTTACTTTTAATGCATTCCTACCCTAGCACATGACCCACTCTGAACCATCTTCAGCACTGTGCCTCCGATCAGTGAGCCCTTCTTTAAGCATCTTATACTTGCCACCGGCAGGACCGCTTCTGAAATGCTCTTGTCGTAGCATCCAGTTCACTGCCTCTCTCTGGTACGGCCTCAGGACTGGGATTAACGCAGGATGCTGGACATCCACTTGGACTGACTGTGTTTCTTGCTGGTGTGTTTGCTTCACAAAGTGATAGAGCTCATCAATGTCCTGGCCCTCTGGCTCACTCTCTGAATCTTCCTCATCTTCTTCCAGCACATCTGTATATCCAACAAAGGTACTCATAACAGGATCTGCATTGTAAGCCACAGCATTTTTTTTTCCTATTTAAACCCTTGCCCTCCTACTCTGTGTTTTAGACAATATTTCACAATACAATACTTTCTGGATTGGCCTCATCCAAAATACTCAATCTTCTGAGGACTGGGAATGTAGGTGCAGGTACTATAAGGCCTTTTAACTGCTGGTCCTTATAGGAGGACCCAAGCACCCATTCATCTCCACCGTCCTGCTCTGTGTGTTCTTTGACTGGAAATCCCTTCTCCCCAAAGTATCTACCTATGCATTCTTTAAAAGAGTTCAAATGCTGCATGGTATCAATGTTCTCCTCACTGTCCATCTGCTATTTTATACTTTGGCTATAACTATGTGTTATAATCTACCTGCTTTTCAATTTTTATGTACTTGTCACAGTCCCTCAGAGAAACGGACATGTTCTATTCTCGTATTTAGTAACTGTGAAGAACTGAATATGTATTTCATCTATGATTTATAAATTAACTTATTTCACTTTTACATCTTAACATAAAAATCCTATTTTTTATGTTTATTGAAACAAGTTCTCATTAATTTTTCAGGCTAAGAAGAAAAAGTGAGCTGCTGGTAGAAGCAGAAGCTAGTGAAGACGCACGCTGAAATCACTAATCTGTGTCAAGCTGTCACATTTCACTGGAGGAACACAACTGCCCTGTATAAGACTCGCACCGTAACTTAAACAAGTAAAAACCCTAAACACACTTGCATTATTCTTTCAATGTGAAGAAATGAACCATTTTTATTTCCAAACTGTTCTCAAAGAGGACATGGTAAAACTACACCGTTTTACAGAACATACCTAATATGCTCAGTTACAAAGAGTTTACTGAAGAATCTACAAATTCTTTTCAATACAAAATATCCTATAGGATTTTCATAACCAGTGTTTAATTATGCATTTATTTCATATCAGCACCACAAAATAATTAATGTAATTAAGTATTGATATCTAAGCTTGAAGTTTTCTTCCAGAGTACTGAAAGTTCAGGCATGTTCCACAATAGCTGTCTAAAATTTTTATAACTTTAAAAAAAAAACCCTTAATGTTTTTGATGGCATTTCTAATTCTAAAACAAGATATTTTATTCCCTGTAACTGTCTAACTTCTAAAATAACTTACTACTAATGAAGTTTTGAAAGAATGAGCTATGGCATCAATTTACCCACCATGTTCAAAAACAGATTTCCAAAACATTCTAACATGAAATGTTCTATAGGGCTGAGGCTATAGCTCAGAAGTACAGTACTTGCCTAGCATGTGTGCAGTTCTGGGGCACATAAGGGGAAAAAGAAAACAAAGGAAAGGAATAGGGGGACAGAATGCTCTACAAATTGCACCAAAATACCAGACATACTAAGTTCTCCAGCGTAACTTGGAAAATCCACCCTGAGTCTCCAGCAGCAGAGCAGAATGCACTGCAGTCAGTCCCATGTCTACCAGTGCTGAGCCAGCAGTGCTTTCTGTGTCTCTCTACCACTGAGTTATATTCTCTGATATTCGCAGGCCTTTAGTTTAGTTAGTTAGGTTAGTGGCAGTTCTAACCAAGGATTCCACAAACCTACCGATAAACAACAAAGTCATCTGCTCTTTATAAAAACCTGGCTCTTGAGATTTTCTATCATACTGCAAAGGTAAGGTAGATTAAAAGGCAGTAACAATCTCTGGCTATTACAGAATTTTGCAGAAAAGGAAGGAAGGAATCAAACCAGTTCAGATGTATTCTGATTGCCTTTTGACTTTGTATATTGATTTTACAAAACATTTCTTGAACTCTGGGCCTAATGCTAGGCAAATATAGTGAAAGAACAAATCTTATCAGTGAGGGCAATTCAGATACGATTTTGTCATAGATACTATATGGAGATCATTTAAGTTTCTTCATTTTTTATTATTCATTCTCAAGTTATTATACACATAAGTTGAGGAAAAACTGACAACCCCAAAATGCAATTGTAAAGTTTACTTTAATAATTACCTGGAATAACAAAATTATATAACTTTTCCATCACTCTCTTCATGAGCTGATTGAACTTTTTCATTCTTGAACTTGCATCACTCATAAAGTCTAGTCTTGTTAGGCCCGCTTCCAAGATATAAATTCCAACCTAAAAAGAAGTAAAGTCTTACTAGCAATATACCATTCTTTATAAGAACACAAGGAAACCTTTTCCACACTCACTATTTCTAAAGGAAAAGGTTGTTGTCTTTTTTTTTTTCAATGTATATGGGTGTTTTATCTGTTTATGCATGGTGTGTGCAGTGCCCGTGGAGGCCAAGAGAGGACAGTGAGTCCCTGGGGACAGGAGTTACAGATGACTACTAGTTGGCATGTGGGTACTGGGAACCGAACCTGGGTACTCTGCAAGAGCAATTAGAGCTCTTAACCACTGAACCATTTCTCTAGTCCCTATATTCAGTATTTCTTACAGGCTTTAACAATGTCTGCCCTATAGGCATGAGATACATTTTTAATTTCATAAATTCATTCTGTAAATGCCTATGATGCATAAATGAAACAAAGACTTCCTTAATTGGGACCAAATACAGGAAAATGTTACAAAAACCTCAACTCTACCCACCAAGTCACTAGTGTCTAAACCCAGTGAGCATCTGAATAAGCAGTGAAGCTTGTTGCAATGAAGCATCTCCCAGAAAACTAAACACACACGCTCACTCTTTTGTGATTAAGTTTCGGAATCCTTAGCACTGGATCAAATATCAAATAAAAGGTGGAAGAAAACAGACCTTGACTAATGTAAGTAAAACAATGCAGCTATTGAATCATAAGAGTTGAAATATCCAAAACTGAGTAGACAATGATATTTAGGAATAAGAGAAATTTAGGAAAAATAACTTTTGTTTATACTCAAACATTCTCGTTTTTAAAACAGTAAGTCCACATGAGGCAGCTGACACAGTTTAAAGTGTCTAACAGACAATTCATTTTCTTATTTCTCCAGTTCCCCTGGCACCAGACTCCCTAATGACTGAAATCCTTCATCTCTACTGCTGAAATAGAAGAATCCAGTAACATTACAGAGTGACAAGTGAGTTACATTTCAGACCTGTGGGCACTTGCCTTTTGTTCACCTGGTTTACTGTGGTAGTGACAGATATTTGCATTTTTATAAAAATCAAGGTCAGGGAAAATGGAAGAGATTAAGATTTGCTTTCAAGGGTAGAATACATATACACAAGCCATGAACTCTTACATCCCAGCTATCACTCAGCAAAATACTGGTCCTTAAAATCAGTAGACAGGGAACTGCATGGTTATGAGTTTCACGTCCACAGTTAACTGCTGCACGATGCTTCCAAATGTTCTTTATTCTTCAAATTGTTTTGAAATAAGTCTATGGCCATTCCATCCTGAAGACACCAGAACTCTCCAGAAAAAAATAATTAGACCTACTGATACAATTGCTTTTAATTTGAGAAATGTGTAAAAAAAAAATTCAGAGACACAAAGATGAACCAACATCTCAGAATTTTTCCTTCAGCCTTTAGCATACAGCATATAATCCCTTTTGAAAATATACCTACGGCATTATCTCACGTGCCTCTAGAAAAATTTATCATGAAAGAATGGGTATTATTTAGAGTTCATATAGAAAAAGGCTGATATTAGAACATTTGAATGATCTGTAATATTTACACAACTTACTGGATGCACATCTTGAAATGAATTATAAATTTACTGATAATGTTAGGTACTAGGCACTTTAATTAGGCAGTGAAGATAAAGACTTCACAGTTTAGAAATTATGAAAGATCTGAAATTTAAGTGCAGTTCAAGCAGTCGAAAGAAGAAAAGAAAACTAACAAATACCAAAACAAAAACCAAAATAGGTATTAGATATTCTGGGTCAGGGCTTGTAACACCACCATGCTGGGGGCTTAAGGAAAGTTCTCCCTGCATGAGATTTTCTGAACAGACTACCAGAGAATGACATATAGTTAGTAGAGAAGGGGAAGAAACTAATCTAGGCAGAGGGGACACAGACAGAAAGAATCTGTTTGGGAAACAAATTAATTTGGAATTTCTGGAGCAAGATAAGAAAGCACACTGATAAAGGGTAGGATTTAATGACACATGACAAGCAGGAAGTTGTATGTTAGAGAAGGAAGGCCATACTCAAGTTCTACAATTAGGAAATTAATTTATAACATACCATTTTCTGGAACAAAGTAGACAAGGATTTGAAAATACAAGGTATTAGAATGCAAGATGGTGAGGACCAAAGCAAGTAAGTGAGCAGAGGCAAGAAGGAAAACTCAGGGCAATCTCCTCAGGAAAATGTCATCTAGGCTATAAATGATGGACAGGAAGATAGTTACGTTCATTTAAAGCCCTAAAGTATTCCTTGAAAGAATAATGAGACACTTGTTGCTAGATTTTGAGACTTTCTAAGCTAACTTTAATGTGGAACCTTACAATACAGCACAGTAAGGGAGTACCTTAATCGTATGACTTCCTTCTGGTCTCTGATAAAGTTTTATTCCTCTTTTCTTCTGCAGCCAGGCCAAATCCTGTAACATGTCACTACTGAAGGACGATTCCACTCGAAGACCCTTGCTGCAAACATCAGCCGATTCTTTGCAGACACTTTCTTGCTTCTCTGCATCTTTACATTCTGAATGGACATAGATCAGGAACTGATTGCTTGACTCTGAACTCATCAATGCAAAACTCCTTTCAGAAAAATGTTCAACTAAACTCTCTTCAGGGAGAAGCTGAAGAGCAAAATCTCCCAGAAATGCTTTCCAAGAATGATCGACATGATAGGGAGAAATTATAACATTCAACTTCACAGACAAAGGGATCTCTTTTTCAGTGGATTCTAAGGTGCTCACAGCCTCTGAACGCCTCTTCTTATCCCTGTGAACTACATCTTCAGGAGGGTCATCATCTATGAGGATGCAATCAGAGGAAGAGTCTGCACCGGAGCAGGGCTGCTCAATGGTCAAGGTGAGAGGTTCATTCCTCAGGTCTTCATGCATGTTCCAGTGCAGCTGCTGCTGCCTTTCCTCATCGACCTTCACTGGGGGAGCGCGTTTCCTTCGGCTGCTCATCCTCACACTTTCTTGGTTATTTAATATGAATTCTAAATGACAAATAAACAGAGGACATGAGGCAGAACAGAAAGAATGGAAAACTGTGGCAAGCCAGGAAAAGAACACTCCATGCACCAGAGTCTGGGCAAGGCCTCCCGCCTGTTGCAAATACAAACTCCAGCACAATTACCAACATACATTCACTGTGAAGGTTACCAATATAGAGGTAATGTGTCTTTAATGAAGAAATATTTTCAAACAAAAACATTAACATGCTTACAACCCAAACGGGTATGACCTTGAGTAGGGCCTCTCTTGGATTATTTTCTAGGACTCTCACAAACAAGACTATGACTTCCATTCACAGTGAAGGTGTCATTTCCTGAATTCTAACTCAGTTCTTTCTCTCAACAATAACCCTGTGATTCCAAGTACATTCCTTAGCAGCCCTTATACATAACATGAAACCTGTTATATGACCGAAATTTTCAGAAAGATATATAGAAAACAAGGGGTAAATTTCTAAAAAGCCTTAAGCCAAATAATTTGGCTATAAAAGCTCTCCAGAGACTTCCGTTTTAGAACTGATCCCTGGCTGGTAGTACTGCTTTGGGAGGTTCTGCAAACTTTAGATGGGGCCTAGGCATAGGGAGTGTGACGCTGGTTACTGAGACTGGAGGACCAGCCTTGTTTCCTGTCTGTAACACCCGATTTAGTGTTACACCCTCGGTACAGTTCGCGCGCCACTGTACCGAACGCAAGTCGAGTAAGGGCCTGGAGATTGAACAGAAGACACAAAGAGACCAGGGTCATTCGAAAGGAGACCAGCCAAAGGCCGGTTTATTCAGACTTGGGGAAGTCCTTATCTACCTAACTGCAGTACAAGGACCCCTGCCCAGGCAGGTGGGAAATTACCATATCAGCAATGGAGCTGCAGCTAATCACCAGACGGGGCAGGGGAAATACAGGAACCAACAGAATGCTTATTCAGATTGACTAGAAACTATATGCGCCCCAGGAAAAAGGGCTGAATGCTTAGTCCTCGAGATGCACCCCAGGAATAAGGGCAGACCAGGGCCCTACACCTGTCCTGTCTGTTTTCTTACCTATCAAGATGTGAGCAAGCCACCTTACTACCCTGTGGTCACCAGGACGAACTCACCCTCACTGTGTCTCCCATCTTCACGAACTGTTCCCTCAACTCCCTGTAGCTTTTTTCTTCTCTGGTATTTGGTCACCTCAAGGAGAAAACTAATATGTAAGGAACACATTAACCATGATCTCACGTATCCATTAGGTTTCACTCATCTTTACTGGAAAAATTTCATTGAGACAATCAACTAACTGTACAAAAGAAAACAAATGATAAGACTACATTTGATGGGCGAAAACTAAGAAGACAACCCCCTCACACAGCCGGAAATAAAAGCTTGTTTCAAGTGTGAGTTGTATTTAAACGCACACCACTGCTGAATAAGTCCAGTGTGCTTTACAATCCTAAAGCAAGCATCAAACCTCGAAAGACCCCTATATAGTTTAAAATCCCTTCGAAACATCCTCTTTTTCAAAGAGAAACAACAGCAACACACAATGGTGTTTTGGATTAACAGATAAGAAAAATAAGAGAGGCTCCTTAGACAAAGAACGAGGTGGTGACAGCAATCATGGGACGTGAGCCAACCCAAGCGCAAAGAAGACAAAGACAAACGTGTAGTAGAGAAAGTTACAAAGACTGCTCAAGATAAATTCAAGCCATCTGGAGTTAAAAGGCACCGAGTAGAAATGGCCAGTGGTGAACAATGCTGCATACACCTCAGACAGGGTACCTCTTGACCATGAATCCACACCTCCTCATGAACCAGCGCTACTTCAGAGTCGAAATGCACAGCGTGCACAGGTGCCAGGGTGGTTTGGAAAGCGAATGCAATTAGTTTGTCGCCGAGGGCAAGTGAGCACTGGGAGCCTAACTTGCACGTCTCTGCACCTCTTTCGGGCACCTGCAGCCCCACGCACCATCAGCCCCTCGGGCACGTCCAAAGCACAGCACGGTCCCCCTCGGTCACCCTCCTGAAAGGAGCCCGCTGCCAGCACCGGCGGCTCAAGCTCCCGGAGGGACGGCTCGCAACAGGGCCTCGGGCAGGCGGGCGTGGGCAGTAAGCCCCCGTCCCACGCGAGACGGGCACGGCCCACGCTCGGGCTGGAGCCCAGTCCGGAGAACTCGCAAGGCCGCTAGCCTCCGATCCTGGAGCACCGCAGGAGCTCTGGGCATTTCCCGGTGACCCAGAGCCAACCTCCCTCCGCGACCTCTAACCTCTGACCCTACAGCCACCCTGGCCTACCTCAGCCGGTACCTAAGCGCCAGCCCCCAGGCCTGGCCTTCCTCAAACACTGCAGACCCCAGGTCGACATCCGCCACACACACACCTGCTGGAGCCGCGCACGCGCGCCGAGCGCTGGGTGGAGCCGGGCGCCCAGGCCGGAAACCGCGGAGCCGGCTCAGGAGAAGCGTCGGGCCCAAACAAACGCGCCAGACCGGACGCGAAACCACGGGACGCCCCGCCCCTTTCTCCCACGCTGGCTTCAAAGGGCGCTACTGCGCAAGTCCCGTCCCTGAAGCCCCTGTGGGAAGACCTTTGAAGTCTCGCGATGTTTGTTCCCATCTCTTTCCCTGGCCTACCGTGCTATTAGTAAACGCAGAATGGGCGGGGACCCAAGTAGGGGGCGGGGCTCCAACCCCAGAGCGGCCCCGATGAGTTGTGGGGTTAATAAAAAAACAGAAAACATACGTAAAACTAAATTCACGATGTCGGACAGTTACAATACTCAAACAATCTACACAATAGGGATAAAACTACTAAGCCAAAAGAATTTGATTTAACAAGAAAACAAAACGTAGAGATGTCTTCAGAAACATCAAAAGATAGGCTAATAACAGGGTACGATCGAATTGAAATTCTTGCCAAGAAAAGCGCTATGCTGTTTAAACAGCGTAAGAAAAATTGAACGTCCTATGCTGAAGCTGCCTTCTCAGTCTTTTCTTCAGAGGGAGAATTGTACCTCCAGCAGACACAAACAAAATTCTCCCTTCTGAATATATCAGTAGTGTGTTAGCTTTGTATATCCTTTGACATTTTTCTCTGTGAGTTAAGGTTTTTGTTTGGCGTGGGTTTTTTTAATTTATTTATTTATTTTTGGATTTTTGAGACAGGGTTTCTCCGCAGCTTTTTTGATTCCTGTCCCGGAACTAGCTGTTGTAGACCAGGCTGGCCTCAAACTCACAGAGATCCGCCTGCCTCTGCCTCCCCAGTACTGGGATTAAAGGCGTGCACCACCACCGCCCGGTGGGTTGTTTGTTTTTTGTTTTGTTTTTTTCTTTCAGTTTTGTAACCACCAGAGCTAATTCCAGGAGGAAAAAAAGAAAAGATTATTTGGCTTTCTGGAAGTCCCCTGCTGTGAGACAACTGTTCATAAAACACTGAGTGCTAACAGCTAGTAGATGGTAAGTAATCTAATGACAATAAGGACCAGAGAACCAACTTACACAGATCTGACCAGTGAATCACCACTTTAGCTGGGGATTAGTTAAATTGGGATATTAGTTCAAGTACTTTGTTTTGAAACAATCTAAGTATATTGCATCATGTCTAATATATGTTTAGATTCAGCCCATTACAACGAGGTAAATATTGCAATAAAGAGTGTCTCATGAATTTTCTGCTTTCCCAATGTATATATAAATTTGTGTTTATTTTTTTATGCTGTGGTCCAGTAAGTATACAATAACATGTATACAATATAGTATAAATATCAAAATATAAAAATGTTTTACTGCTAAAAATGCTAGTGACCATCTGAATTTTCAGCATATAATATTTTTCCTGATGTAGGATTTTCTTGAAGCTGCTTACTGCTGACTCAAGTTGGTGATTGGTAGAAATTGAGGAGGAAATAGAATTTTATTAAAATAAGAAATAAATTCATGGTGGCACAGAAAGAGACTGCCACTCCGACTGAACAGGGCAAAACTCTGAGCCGTCTGATATGAATGCTTATAACTGAGCTCAGGTCTTGCCTAAGAGCAGAATGTACTCGACACCTGAGCAATCTCTCCAGCATCCTAAAATGCTGAAACCCTGATGGTGTGTTGGCTGGCATAAAAAAAATCTATTTCAGTACTCTGTCTATCTATCTATCTATCTATCTATCTATCTATCTATCTATCATCTATCTAATTTTTAAAAAATTTCTGAGCAGTGTATCTCAACAATGAGCTTAAAAATTCAGTAAAAATATTTAGTAAGCAGGTAATCTGCCATCCGGCTTTAAATACAATTCTTAAGAGCCATGGGACTTTTAGAACAATGAATGAGCACTAACACCAACCTAACATCACCAGCTGAATTGTCGCCCTGAAAAGAAAGTCTCCTGCAGTTAACCTTTGAAGCCACTCACTGATTCCTCTTTACCTATGGAAGTTCTAGGAGGCACGTGTTTTCACCAGAGATCTGTTTAGTCCACACCGTTTGGCATTTCCACCCCATCAATAATCTTAGTTACATTTTTTCTCGATGAATCTCTACAATTTCTTCTCTATTGTCTGATGCTTTGATTTACACTTTTGTGTCATAAGGATTCCTCCCCCCACCCCCCCAAGCTTCAAGAACAAACTGCAAGCTTCAAACTACTTATCTCTCAGCCTTTACAGAGAAGAAATGAGTCACAACTTTGCTCTGCATTAGGCTTCGGCTAATGAAAATGTGGTTAGTTTGATCTGTCAGATTTCTGTACCAGCAATGAAGTTACTTCTCTTTATTAGAGTTCTTGTGTTTACGGAAATAATCAATTTTTTGAAGTTTTGGTCATCAAATATCCTCGCAATTTCCTTCAAGGATTTTTTCCTCTACATTGATAATTTGTTGCAAGAGGCCTAGCTCTCAGCCTATCGTAAGTTAAACTTTTATTTTGAGCTTTTAATTGGAAGTGAGAGACATGTGACATGGTTTCTAGTTACCCTAATCTCAGGATTGTTGTTTCAAGTAATGAAGTGGTTCAAGGAGAGGGAGAGAGAGATGGGGATATATTTGTTTGATGGGTGATGTAGTTAGATCACATACTTACATTAAAGTCACTTTTATGTATAAAGATAGTGCGTGGTGTCTCAAAACAATCACCACACGAACATAAACTATCATCAAGCACAGAGTATCGTAACAAGCGAGGATAATAAAGTTTGAAATGGCGATGACAAATATTTGCCTTTGACATGGATACAAAGCGCCAATATACTGTTGGGAAAATAGCAGCCGTAGACTTGCTGAATGCAAGATTGCCACAGGTCTTCCATTTGTAAACAAATACCATAATAGTGGAGTAAGATGAGGTACGCCTACGCCTGTAAATGTGAAGGCAGTCAGACCATGCTCCCCCTTTTCCTCTTCATGGCTGATTCCAAGTCCTCTTCCAGACTGCTTCCTGTTGTCTGTGGGCAAAGGCATCTTTAGGGCTCCCTGAGAAAAACTGAGATAATAATCAAGTCATGGGAAAACCAGCAGTAACCTTTGTTGATATATATTATCTACCAAGTTTCAGGAGGTCTCCCTTGATCAAAACTGATCCATATCAATCTGTAACAAATCCAAAGCCTCTTGTTTTCTGTGGAAACAAAAGCAAACCCTCTTTTCCAAAGCATTTTTTACTTCGATTTGACATTTTTTTAACTTCCATTTTAAAGTTAAGGTATTCTTAAAATACATAGGCTGGTTTATTTCATCAGGGCCTCTTTCAATTCCATGTCTCCTTGTAGCTATTATTTGCTTATCAGCATTCAAAAACTTCAATATAGGGTTCAGACTCCCTGCATATTTCCCATTTCTACATTGCTTCTTTTATATAAATTTACCTGTCTTTAAATACTTTATTATTTTTAAACTACTCGTTTCTTCCTATGACCGTCTATACCCATGTTCTTTCTTTCTTAAGTCTACACACATTGTTCGGCATCTCTTCTGCTGTGCATCTTTTAGCCATTTTTGACTGAGTGAGGAAACTTTAAACTGCTAAGCTACAGCTGGGTTCTCCACATGGCTCTATTAGTCGGCTCTGCCTGCTTCTCGGTTCATGAGAGCCAAGTCTAAAGCTCCTGTCCTGTTCAGAGATGCCTTTGACTGAAATCTACATTCAAACCCCCAGCTCTCAAATGCCACTGCCCTGCACTGTGGAGGGTGTTAAATTTTTACCGAGTTTTTTTTTTTTTTTTTGCATCTATTTAAAGTGAAAAGGGCTGTTTAATGCTCTGCTCTGTAGCAGAACTTCTTAAAGCAGCAGTGTATTTTCTTTTTCAGCTTTCTCTGGCTCTAGATTGTTGTTTGAGCCCCCAAATGGGTGCCAAGTTGTGATTTCTTTTTGTTTGTTTGTTGTTGCTTGTTTTTTACTCTTTACTCTTTGTTCTTTGGAGGGTCTACCAACCTGCTACAAAACCAGCAGTGGAGTAAGAAGAAAAGGTATATAGACTAGAACAAGATAAAAAGATCAGAGGCAAAAGGTAAACGGGCATTTTAAGTTAAGAGAAGCTGGTTAGAAACAAGCCAAGCTAAGGCCAGGCATTCATAAGTAAGAATAAGACTCTTAGTTTTTGTTTGGGAGCTGGATAATGAGCCCTAAAAGAATAAAGAGTAAAGAATTTTTACAAATGTGCTGAGTAAGCTGTATTTATGTATTTAAGAGAATGTGTGTATGTCTGTGTTTAACAACAACTAAAGAAATATTAGCCATAAACTTGAGAGAGAGCAAAGGAGTACATAGGGACTGTTGGAAGGAGAAAAGAAAAGGGCAAAACCAATACAATTATATTTTAATTTTAAAAATTAACAAAAAGAGATGGCATGTGATCTTGGGAGGGAAACGTGATGAAGAAGATAGGGGATGAGTTGAAGGGAAGGAACTGGGTGGATTTGATGTAAACACATCATATGCATGAAATGCACTACGAAGTTCTCAAACAATAAAATAATCTGGCTAAAAACATTCTTTTTCTCTCCCTATCCACTCTTTTCTTCTAGCATCTTTTGTGTTTCTACCCTAGGTGTAGTTAAGTATTTTACTTTTCCAGTCATATGTAGAAGGCATTCTTTTGCAGCAGACTTCCTGGTCCTCTGGATAGTATAATCTTTCTATCCTCTCATCTACAATGTTCCTCCAAGCCTTATGGGTAGGAATTGTGTTTTAGATGTCTCTGTAAGGACTGGGCCCTGCACTGCACAGTCAGCTATCCTCTGCATTTAACCAGATTTGGCTCTCTGAAGTGGTCTCCCTCTGTTGAAAAAAAAAAAAAAGCCTCTTTGATGAGAGGTGATCGCACCTGTAGGTATAAGTATTTGGAATACAGTTAGGAATTATACTGATTTAGTAAAGTCCTTTAAGATCTATGATCTCACCACTCACATGTACTTGCCTAGGTTTATGATGCCAAACACT